AAATCAAATAAACCAATTAAACCAGTTAAACTAATTAACCCATTAAACTAATTAACCCAATTAAACCAGTTAAACCATCTAATCTTATCTTACAAGCTGATAACACGTTTTTTTTTTTATTATTATTAAAGACAGTCGCGTAACATTCACGTCATAAATTCGCATACAAACACAGCACACGCAGCCGAGAGATAATAAATAAACAAATTAGAGAAAAGACAGACGTCAAAGTTTTTTTTTAATGCTAAACACACTATTGTAACTATTGTACAATTGGCAAAAAAAAACACGTAGGGTCTAAGGTAAAGTCCGAAACAAATGTTTTTAGAATACAATTAAAAATGAGATTATTTACGATATTGTTGTTCAAAAAAAAAAAAAAAAAAAACGCCCAATTCCCCACAAAATATTTTCCTTTCTTTGACTTTAACTATCTTTTTAGACAGTGATAGATGATCTACCAAATAAATTAATATATCTAAGTAGTTTACAGTATATGACATAATATCTGCAAGGTCGTAAAGTCAAAAAAATATTTAGCATATATGCTGTCATTTTATTCATTTTATTATTATTGTATTAGTTCATTGTGTCTATATTCTCTTTTCCTAACTTACGTCGTCGTACCACCTTTTTCAGGGGTGAATTACGCAGTATTCAATTAAAATTATCCGGGTTTTATTATATGCTAATTATATGCTATTATATGCGCATTGGGCAATCTAGAAGAAAAAAAAAAACACGATTAATTGCATGCTAGATATTTATTCAACTGATAAAATGTAATTAAAATAATTACAGTAATTATGTTAAAATGTAATATCAAAATTATTAAAAGGTGTATATTTAATATTAAAATATATGTTAAATAATATATTACTGTAAAATGTATATTTAAAATATATAATATATAATATATAATATATATAATATATATATATAATATATATATAATATATATATATATATATATATATATATATATATTATACTGTATTAGAAACATAAAGCCTTTGATCTGTTTATCTGTTTAGCCAATAGGATACGTGAGAAATAATAGCATTCCCCACAACACCTGAACCAACATTTTTTTTTTTTTTTTTTTTTTTTGCCAATACCAATACCAATACCAATACAAATACAAATACATATATTACAAAATATTACATACATTACATTGACGCAAAGATATACATTTGATTAATAACTGATAACCGAATCAATAATAAATTCAATAATAAATAGATCTGATAATTATTTATGTGGTTTAAAATATTACCTTATTTACAGCATGCACATTGCACCCTTTTCCTTCCAATGATGCTTATACATCTTTTTTCGGCGTAGCACCAGATTAAAAAATTTTTTTTTGATCCCTATATGATCCCTCGCTTCACCTCCTGCTCTCATTCTTTCTTCTTCCTTTCTGCGGCCTCCCCTTCTCTCATCTTTGACATTAATTTTTTCTCATGTTATACGTCTTCTAATTAATTCATATCAATTTATCACATTCCTAATTAAACAAATTAGACACAAAATAAAAGAAAATCTCAATTTATAATTTTTTCGCAAGAAAAACCTGTCTTTACATTCGAAATTATCACCAAATTTCTATTTTGAACGAATTCGTATTTATTACTATCAAAATATCTCGTTTTGACCTTTGAGACTCTTTTTTTGTGATCAAAATAACGCCTTCTATAATATCATAATATATAACATTATACTGTTATTATTATTATTTTTATTTTTATTATTTGGTTTCTCTATATTTTACGAAAAATATAAATGGACTCCACTCTTTTGACCGAATTCAGAAAGCTATCCGTGAATCCAACAACATATACCTTTTTGAATGCTTCAGGTAAATAATTTTTATTCACTTTTCTTTTCATTTTTTTATTCGTTTTCGGGGGGTTTTTTTTTTTTCTTATCTTTTAGAGTTGATTTCAAAGATCAGTTTTACGATTTCGGTTTAGACTAAAAGTTAATTGTAGATCCTTAGGATAAACTGAATATGTTCGTTTATCGATTTTTTTGTTATCATTACGTAAATTATTCACCCATTAGTCGTTAGTACAAAGTTACAGCATTGTTGTACACATGTTACCTTTTTATCTTATCTCTTTTTTTTTAGTTACGCCATATGCCTGATTCGACTTTGTTTGTTTATAAATACTCAGTCCGCAATTTCATTATCTTTATTTGGGAAAAACTTGGCAACACCAAATGTCAATCCTGTCAATATTTAAACTAATTAGATCTCTATATTTTTTTTTATTGTATATAGATAAATCTATACAATCGCGACATACTTTCTTTCCGTCAATACCATCTCCTCAAACCGAATATGAAATGGATTTAGTTTATGAAGATCAAGATTTTATGATTGATGGTGATTCTTCTCGTGAAGCTTTCTTTTACAACACAATTGAAGGGGAGGATGAATGTGAAGAAACTGACGAGTCGTATCAATCACTCAATTTCGATACCACTGTAAATGATCCTGTTTTTGCGAGTTTCATAAATGAACTTTTTCAAGATTCCTCAGATCATATCAATTTTCAAAAATTTTATTATTTTAATACTTGTTACTATGAGGTGATTTTTTTTTTTGGAATTTAATGGGTTATTTGGTTTATTGGATTTAATTGGGTTAGTTGGTTTAACTGGTTTAATTGGGTTAATTAGTTTAATGGGTTAATTAGTTTAACTGGTTTAATTGGTTTATTTGATTT